ATGTTTCCCTGGTTGAGGGGTAATAATATATCGCACATGGAGTGGTGTTGTTGATAAAATAGTGCTCGATCTAAAATAACAGTACTATAAATTATATATAAAAAATATACATTTTTTCTCCCCGGTAGCATGACCCATTGTTTTATACATAACGCAAGAGTTTGTTACAGGTGAGGAAATACACCCACATGCACACATACACATATATATATATATATATATATATATATATATATATATATATATATGTATGTATGTGTGTGTGTGCGTGTGTGTGTGTGTGTGTAAAATAATATATAGAATCCTAACAAAATTTTGAAAAGTTTGACAAATGGAAAAACGTTTCATTGAAACTAGACTTGATTACGCTTCATCAGATCAAAAAGCGAATGATAGAAATATGTGTGTATGTATTTGTGTGTATGCTTAAATAGTGAATCATTAGTACTTTTTTCCCCTAAGTTGGCGTTTCTCGTGATTAAAAAAAGAATGAAAATGAGTGACTTTTAAAAAAGCCGTTAATATTTATTCTGTATCTTTTCTTATAACTCTTAGTTCATGTACAAAGTTATTAATATATTTTCCCCACCTTTTTATTTGCATCGAATGAAAGGTAAATTCTCACCTTATTTTCAGAATAGCTCGAAAGACTTTTCCATTTGTCAAATTTCCTCACACGCACATATATATATATGTGATATGAGAAATGCCTGAAGATGACTGAATGTACAGTCGAAAGTACTTGCGTATTTAAATAAGACCTTATACAGCTTACAATTTTTAAAAACAAGGATCATAACATTCATCGAGTGATTAGTAGGTTAATGCATCTTTAAAAAATTTGTTAGCGAAGGGATTTCGCCATTTTAAATCATTAATTTTACTTATTTACTTTTTTGTATGAATGATTCATTGTAATATATATATATATATATATATATATATATATATATATATATATATTCAGGTAAAATAAGAATAAACGGAGTATAATTCCACTTTCTGTAACATTTAATTTAAAAGAGAGCTCAATACAGTGTAGTGCTAAAGTAATTAATATATATTTTAAGATATTTTCTGTTTATATGTTATTTTTATAGATACAAATATTTATGTAAATGCTCTGTTTATAACAAACAGTATTAACAGCATTTACCGCTTGAATATCCGTTAAATTTTCATAGAAAATATCTGTCCTCCGGTAGGAATCGAATTTGTACCCTACACGCAACCGTCACATAGTCTGACGTGCTATACTAATTTAGCTACAGAGGAGCGTCTTGCTTAGCAAGGTCGATTTTACTGTTTTTAAGCTACAGTTTTCTATGATTTCCTTTGAATATTCATTTATGCTCGAAGCGTATCCAAACGTAAACAAATGATGTCACACACTACACAATGGAAAAAAGTCCGACAATTATTGTAAGATATTTTCTGTTTATACGTTATTTTTATAGCTGCAAATATTTAAGTAAATGCTCTGTTTATAATAAACTACTATCCATGCAACAGCATATATTAGCTCAGATATTGAGCACTTTCCACTAATTACCGTCCATACGCAAACACACATGCGCGCGCGCACACACACACACACAAACACACACACACACACACACACACACACACATATATATATATATATAGATAAATAGATAGATAGATAGATATAGATAGATATGAGTAACGATTGCGTTTAAGCATGAAACAAACTGTCGCTGCTGTCTTTTGACCGCAATATCAACTTTTATTCTTACATACGTTCTATCCTGATATCAAGCACTTTAACTCATAAATATAGTATGCCTTAAAACCATATTTTTATTATATATATATATATATATGTAAGCAAATATATAGATATAGATCCAACAGTATGAAGAAAAATATACGGAAAAAACAAACAAAAATCCTAATATGCAATTATGCTGTTTTAATGTTAATATAATGTCAATGTCGGACGTTTCGGTCTAATAGACCATCTTCAGGACATATTCATAAAACATAATTAACATTAGACCATATTCAATTAAACATGAAAAAGACGATGGACATAAGAGCAAGACCAATCCAAACAGATAACTGAAATCTTTTATAAGATCAGCGTTCCGTTTAAATATGATCACGTCGTCTTTTTCATGTTTAATTGAATATGGTCTAATGTTAATTATGTTTTATGAATATGTCCTGAAGATGGTCTATTAGACCGAAACGTCCGACGTTGACATTATATTAACATTAAAACAGCATAATTGCATATTAGGATTTTTGTTGGTTTTTCCGTATATTTTTCTCCATATATATATATATATATATATATATATATATATATATATATATTCAGCCGCATTTGGAAATTAGAATCTTATTCTAGAAATCTCAAAATCTGTTAATTGCTTAAAGTTTTTGATTTTTGATAGCGGAATTCAGTAATATTACATCTGTACTTTTCATCTGTTGAGAACTGCCCAATATATATCTGACACAATTGTTTTCATGGGCCTAGAAAAAAATGATAAATTGCTTTGCGGGACAAGTTCAGATGCCATAACTTCTCAATTTCTTCATTATTTTCGGATGTTTGAAATGTTATCAGTAACCTTATATTGTAAGCCTTCATGGTTTCATATTAAGAGAGAGAGGAAGAAGCTTCATTTCCGTATCTTAGTCTCAACGAAAGAAGGAAATGCTTATGTCATCTTTATACAAAGATTTAATTGAAACGATGTCCTGGTCGTTGCAATCGAAACGTTTCGATCATTGCCCTCACCACTCTTCTTCAGGTGCTTATCGTATTTGGTAACCAGAGATACAATTTAGAATCGGATCTTTTATTCAATCCCCGGGCATAAATTGTTCTCATTCCACTGTATAGGCTGAGGGGGGAGAGATCGCATCTGTCAATTCATCCTTGTCATGCCACTTTTGACATTTCTACTGAATCGGAGACACGAACATTGTAGCTTCGTTAAAGGTAGTAAAGCAATGTGGGGAGAAAGTCATTAAGAGCTGTTAGATACCGTACCTATGAACACTAATGAGTAGGTTCCAATCCTCATAAATACGTTGGACACTAGTGTAAGTGGGAGGTAATATGCTGTATAAGTAGTCTATTACTAGCAGTGGTTTACCTACTTCACGTCGCTGGTGAGTATTGTATTTTGTTGATGTTATAAAGATTACCATTTCATTTCCAACCTCCGTTTTAGTTATTCCTCATTCAGTAACCCTTTTTAGGTTACAACATTTTAGCGAAGAGGATGAGATATTGACTCTGTGCAGAGTAAATCTACAAAGGGCGTGTTGTATACCGTACATGGGAACACTAATGGGTATGTTCCAATCCTCATAAATACATTGGACACTATTGTAAGTGCGGATAATATGCTGTATAAGTAGTACACCACTAGCAGTGGTTTACCTACATCACGCCGCTGGTGAGTATTGCATTTTGTTGATGCTATAAAGATTACAATTTCATTTCCAATCTGCGTTTTGGTTATTCCTCATTCAGTAACCTTTTCTAGGTTACAACAAGAGCCTAGGATGCGAGCTATGAATTGTAGGTGTCAAAATCATGCAAGTACAAAGGGACCAAGGCGAGTTTTCACGTTAGAGGGCTTTGGCTGTGGTTTGGTCTGAAGAGGAATAGGTTCCGTCAGGTTTATTTTTCCAAGTCACGCAACGCAGATATCTAGGGAACTGGTCAGGTGGTTCAACAGCGCAAAGATTCTAAGATCACACCCAGTGATAGGGATGATGATGATGATGATGATGATGATGGCAACACATCCGAAGAAAAGATTATGCCTTTCACAAGGTCGGTTAAGTTCGAACCTTAAAATAAGCTCTTTAGGTAATCTGTTACAAAACCAAAACATCGGCCCCCAAAATACGAGTCATGTTCTTATATAGCCTCATCAGATCGAGACCATCATATCAGGTATGGCGCCAAACTCGTTCAGAAATATCTAAAATGTCAGCTGTCTAAAACAACTTTCTAAAAGCAATAGGTAAAAATGGCTTTTCACAGATAGTAATTGTTGAAACTTGACTAATGCATAGAATAATAATGCAACACAAAATGTACTTAGAACAAAATGTATTGAAACAAGAAAGTGTACACAATATTTACATATAGTCTCTTGTATATTCCTGGTAAGACCGTTCCTGGAGAATGTGTTGACTGAGTCGCAGTCGGGCAGAGTCTCTGGTTTAATCTCTTGATTCCTCCCTCTCTTCCTGGTACCAACCATATTTATATGGTCGGTACTCCACTATGCAAATTAGGTGGATCCTACCACAACAGTAATCTATAGATCTTGGCGAAGACCCACCTCCTTTGTATATTGTGGACTGGCGCTACCTAATCACAAAGAACTATACCAGATAAAAGGAGCCACATGACTTAAGGGCTTTCAACAGCAGCAACAGCTAAAATTGATATCTCGTGTAACTCGAAGAGAAAATGATATAATCATGATTCTGATATTACACACTACTTCAAACAAAAGCTTAGAAAGGAAACTCCAATCAATACCGAAAAAATCGTTACTGGACCCGAGAAATCTATTTTCCAGAAAAATTGTTTTAAGAGAAAGATTGTATAAATTTCAACGGACAGCAGTAATGTCTGCTCTATCAATGAACGCCGAAAGTTTGTTTATAAGGAGACGGCGAATATTACCAGTATATTTACCCTTCCTCAGTAATCTTCACAGTATAAATATCTGCAGATGAGTGCGAGTTAATGTACTGGGTCGATATGCGAGCAGCACCAAAAAACGTTCAGCTTTATGGATAATGTGTCACTCACCTTGAGGATCTTATTTCCAGAAGGTTAGGCGATAGTCTTTGAAAACTTTCGTAGAATTCTCTCTTTGTTTAGGGTCCATAGCTTACCTAATACAACTGTTGACATTAAAAGAGTCGATTTAGTTTAAGCACGTATGGTTTTGATTAGTGGTACTGAGCTACATTTTCACTGTCACAGAAGAGCTTACGTCCACATCACGTTCACACACCGGTTCCCTTACGGTCACCGAAGTTAAGCAACGTTGAGCATATCGTCAATATCTAGATGGGTGACCGCTTGGGAATACCAGCTGCTGTAAACTGTTATGTGCAGGTGGCGTAATAAATTATGGCTGGGAGAGTTGGGTCCGCTAGATTTACTTACGAGCAAATTCTATTGGGAAAGTTATGAATCCCTATCTTCTCCACCAACTATGGGTTAATTTGTAAGGCATATCACTAAAACATGTCTATCAAAAACATTAAAAATTCTTACAGTTAAAAATGTTTTCTGGCTTTAAATAACCTGCAAAGGTTATTTAAAGCCCTAGAAAAAGAATCAAACAACCAACTATTACACAAAATATATTATTCTTCAAGACATAAATAATAAGATAATTACTGCAGGCCGGAGAGCTGTTTGAAAGTACGAGAAGAGGAAGAACATCTATGGGATTAGTGTGGAAATATAATGAGAGAAAACAGCAGTAAATCCTTTAATGGAGAGTATTATTTGCAGAAATTCTATCAATGGATACATAAAAGCGTTTTTAAAAATATGTCAAGTCCCTTTTGGACGTAGGCGATTATAACTCTCCAGACTTCTTTTTTATCATTATCTTTGAATTACTATGTAATTTATTTTATTGATCCTCTTATCCTCAAAGAACCCAACTCTTTTTACTTACACAGTTTTGTATTTCATCCCGACCTGAAAAAACCGAGACCAACAGACGTCGGTGAAACGCGTCGTTTATAGTTTTTCCACTTTGTCTCATCGCCTCCACTTTTGTTTTGGCTACTATTACACACACAAACATATATAATTATATTTAATTATAATTGCTTATATATATATATATATTTATTAAAGACATTTTATTATGTTTAACGTTGTTATTTTATAGATACAAGTATTTAAGCAAATGCTCTGTTTATGATAAACAGTATTAAATAACATTTACCGGCCTGAATGAAGCGTTCGGTAGACAAGGTCGAATTTACTGCTTATAAACTCCAAACTTGTCTACCGAACGCTTCTTTGTAGCCTAGCGGTAAGGCACGTCAGCGTAAATGACGGTTCCGTATAGGATGCAGGTTCGAATCTTGTCAAAGAACGAATATTTTCTATGAAAATTTCTCGGACATTCAGGCCGGTAAATGTTATTTAATACTGTTTATCATAAACAGAGCATTTGCTTAAATACTTGTATCTATAAAATAACAACGTTAAACATAATAAAATGTCTTTAATAAATAAATTGTCGGACCTTGTCCATTTCTTAATATATATATATATATATATATAAACGAATTGGCTTGTATATTCGATAAATCTTCTCAGAGAAATATACGTCCTCCGGTGGATGTAGATAGATAAAAAAATACAGTTTAACTGAAAAAAACACAGAACATCTACTATAATATGAGTATCCATAAAATATAACATTTTAACAACACACACACACACACACACACACACACACACACACATATATATATATATATATATATATATGTATATATATATATATATATAGTGGTATGTATTTAGGCAGCAATCATTCGTTTATGCATGTTTCATTAAAAACGACAGACAAGGTACTACGGTTAAGCTTTTTATTCAATTTTTCTTGTGTTCAAACAAAGAGTGCGTAAAAACTGTCCAAATGTTTTATATTTCCGAGCGCTTTCGTCTATACCTTTAGCCATTATCAAGGGTGATTCAATTTTTCAGCTTAATTGAGTATGTGCATTATGTATATGTATTTAATGTGTGGTAGAGATGTTTTTTTAATTTCCGAATACGGTTAGCACATTGTGGCCTTGTTCGTAGCTAATATTGTTAAGAGTTGGCTTTTTCTTTTTTAGCTTCCATTATTTTTAATGTTTTTTTGCAAGTGGGGGAAGTTATTATATTTGTGTTTTCTACTAGTATGTTTCTCTTTGTCCAGAAAAGAAAGCTCTTGTTCGAACACAAGAAAAATGAAATAAAAAGCTTAACCGTACCTTTTCTGTCAATTTTAATGAAACACACACACACACACACACACACACACACACACACACACACACACACACACATATATATATATATATATATATATATATATATATATATATATATATATATATATAAAAAGAGAGAGAGAGAGAGAGAGAGAGAGAGACATCACACTGGGTGCTGAAGAAATCCCGACCAAGAAGCTTTTCTCACCAAAATACAGCGCATTGAAAATACTTCATCCCCACAAAATTTCGGATAGTTTGATCGTAAGTGTTAATTGCTTATCCTAATAGATGATTTCCACTGTTTCTTGCCAAGTAGTCCTCATGAACACGGGTGCAGCGGGCCCGGTTATTTTCCAAGAGATTTCACGGAGATGGCAGCCTTTGTTCAATTCCTCAACCTTTTATTCTATGTATCCCTTTCTATATAGGAAGGTCCCTTTCTTTCTTACTCTCTCTTTTTTATTTAAAAAAAAATCATTTCACCACAAGTGAAGCAATTAAACCACTAAGACGCATAGGGGTTACTTAGTGCTAAACAATATAAGAAAAAAAAACGCTATGAAGAAGAGAGAACAATAAAAGAATGGGAATTAAGAAGACAAAAATTATTATATATATATATATATATATATATATATATATATAAAAGAGATCTACGCTATATATATATATATATATATATATATATATATATATATATATATATATATATAATTTTTCTTCGTAATTCATATTGTTTTATTGTTCTCTCCCTTCATAGCGTTTTTTTTTCTTTATATTGTTTTAGCATATTATAAGAGATTATCTATATATATATATATATATATATATATATATATATATATATATATAAGAGAAATCTACTATATATATATATATATATATATATATATATATATATATATATATATAATTTTTCTTCTTAATTCATATTGTTTTATTGTTCTCTCTCCTTCATAGCGTTTTTTTCTTATATTGTTTATTATTATAAGAGATTATCTACGCTATATATATATATATATATATATATATATATATATATATATATATATATATATATATATATATATATATATCGTCAGTCGTCTTTAATGACAGTTTATAAAGAGGGATTGCTGCCTAACTACAGAATTATTAAATTCCATGTTCCGGCAGTCAACAAAGAATAAAAACATTCTTGATAATGGCTAATAGAATAGCCGAAAGCCCTCAAATACATAAAACATTTGTACAGTTTTTATAAACTTTCTGTCCAGAAAAGAAAACACTTATACAAACACAAGAAAGTTGAATAAAAAGCTCAATTGCAGTCCCTTTGTCAGTCGTCTTTAATGGAACTTGTATAAAAGGATTGTTGCCTAAATACACAATTAACAACACACGCACACACACACACACACACACACATATATATATATATATATATATATATATATAACCGAATGTAATGAGAATTAAATAATTCTAACGTTCCCAGCATTAATTCAAAAGAGGACACAAAATGGAGAGTAGAGCAATAATTATTTATTATACTTTTTCATATAGACAGAAACAATTTACTCACAAAGATACAACCTTGTTTCGGTGCATATGTAAGTGTGTGTGCGTGTGTGTTGTTTGTATATGGTATATATATATATATATATATATATATATATATATATATATATATATATATATATATACAGGGTGGTTGAAAAGTAAGTGCCTATTTTATGTATTATGGACTCTTTTGTCTTGTGAAAATTATATTTAGACGCGAGACTCCATCAATCATAAAAGAAAGCGTTACTTTTCAATCACTCTGTTATATAAGAAAAAGACAAAAGGGTAATTTTTCCTTTTGTCTTTATTCATATTGTCCTTTTAGTTATATCTATCTATCTATCTATCTCTATCTATCTATCTATCTATCTATCTATCTATCTCTTTCTCTCTCTCTCTCTCTCTCTATATATATATATATATATATATATATATATATATTTTTTCTACAATATATTGACACAAGTCAATGCTAGATGATGCCATGAATCTAATTTGAAGAAATTTCCGCAAACAAGATCGAACATTCTCTTACTAACCACATGCAAAAGAAATTGGCTATTGTTTCAAGAGGATTGTAATTAAAGAACATTTTTCAATATTCCACGAACACTTCACATAGATCTAAGGCTCAGCATATCTACGATTGCCTCTTCCCAACGACCTAACCTTGCTCTTAAAGCGGCCTATTCTAAACAATACGCTGTTTCCACATTATGTAATAGCACAGATACTATTCTACACAACTAATTAGAAATCAACCATTCCTGCGAAGTGTTTTATGTCCTACAATTTATATACAACAATCATCTAGACAAATGCCTAACGCGCAAGAAAAATAAAATGAGTAATTTAATTAAAAATGACCAGTTCCTAAATCATATCCACAACACACAGAAATCAGCCCAGACAAAAAAAATACTTAGATTCCACATTCGGCATCTCCGACCCAACACCCAATTTCTACAAACCAATTTTGTCAATATATCCAATTACAAACGATCAATTGAAGAACAATCAGTACTGTTATTTCTTTTTTTTTTTTTTTTTTTGCCCGTAGATTTTGTTGCGAACATTTTCTTGGTAATATTAAATTAAGTGAATACTTCTCCACAAGCGACAACAACCTTCCATCAGCCATGATAAAACACACACATAATCACAAAAGTCTTCACACTAGAGTCCACAAAACGAACATAATCACCACATCGATTCGTTTATTAAAAGTGCCAGGACCCACCTGGACAAATTTATACAAAAAACAACCTCCATCAAAATAGCAACATCACCATTCAAGAACGTAGTCATAAAATCTCGCCAAATAAACAAATAATCAGCAAATAGGCGGACAAAGGAGATCTAATCACCATTGACAGAAGAAAATACGTCGTAGAAGAAAATCAATTCAAAGATAAAAAAATTTACCATAAGCTCACACACGATCCCACATTAGAACTCAACACTCCAATTAGTCATTTAGACTAAAGTACACTGACTGTAGTTAAGGTTTTAGTCCATGAAATACCTAAAACGGGTACATTCTACACTATCCCTAAACACCCAGAAGTAATCACAGTTGCAAACACCAACCTCTCGATAGAGAACATTAACAGAAATCCATACAAGATGCGGGGTCTGATAGAATCTGTCACCCCACCACCCTAAAAAAATCAATTATCCACTGTCAATGCATAAAACGTATCTGTTTACAGAATAGGGAATACGAAATACACATAAGAAAGTGATTGAATAATTGTCCTAACAGAAATTACCCACTTAAATCTATCAAAAAAATCAATTACTAAGCTTCCAAACAAAATAGGAATACACTAAATGAGAGAAAGAACAAGTGGGGTATAAATCCACAGTTCGTAGCATTATTTTTATATATCAGCGTAGACGTGACGTTCATTGGTTAATCTAAACATACCCATAAGTATATTTCTAATACTGACCTTATGTTCCCGCTTTTATTTATGAAAAGAGGTAATGATTTGTTTTTTAAATGTCCCTAATAAATCCTTTTTTTCAGTAGTTATCTACCATCGCCTGACGAGGTACCATCTCAATATCGAAACATGAAAGATTTTGTGTAACGAAGTAAAATGTTTTTTCTTGTAATTTATAATAATAAAACCGACATTTTTATTGCAAGTTACACCGCACATCAACATAGTATCAATATTTTTAATTGATTTCCCACTTAAATAAAGGTTTTTGAACATTTGTTGATTACATTTTAATTCTTCCAAAACTTTTCCAATCACCCACAACAAATTCTGTCAAGAATACTGGGAAAGACTAAAAGGAAATTTTCAACATCCTTCTTCCAAGTTGGTTCCAAGATTGAAGTCAGGAAAATTTCTTGGCCATATGCCGAATTTATCTTTTCTATATAAAAGTCTGTGATTTAATATAAAGATCGAAATACTTAATGTTCCATCTCAAGTATTAATACAGATGAAATATAGCTTGTAAAAAGTAGTTAATTCCAGTCCAAATTATTTATTCTATTTAAAATATTGTGACCTTCACCTTAGTAAATCACTACATCAAGTTAAACTTGAAAGGATTATAGATATTTCTTTTTATTTCCATTTTTTAATTCAACTGATGAATCCCATTTTATTTGTTATATCATTTTAGAGATACACCACTAGAAATGTATTACATTTTACTTCATCATTTGAGTTGAGCATTATAATCAGTGATCAATACTTGAATCAATGACTAGTAAAACATGTCTCATAATAAAACCCTTTTTTTATTTTTGCAAGCAACACCAAATCAAAACATTTTCAGAGATGAAAGCTTTAATATGAATATATACAAAATACGTAGCAACTTGTGGCACTTATAGACGGACGCTTGGTTGGAATGTATCAAAGCTTTTTTTATGGACCATTTTCCTGCTCAGTTCTCCTAATTATGTGGGTTAAGTTTCGTTTTTGGCGCCAAAAGTACGGGCTGTTCGGAACTACTTTTGCAGGTCATCAGTTATCTACATTGTCAGACGTAAAGCGTTCGAAAACGATCAGAAAAGAGAATCAGGTATTTTTTTTGCTACTTAAAATGAATTCGAATTTACTAGACATTGTTGAATTAGACGTGTCTGGAAAGAAACAAAAATGGCAACGACGATGTAAAATAATGAAAAGGAAGAAAAAAGAAAGAAAGAAAGTAGAAGAAGAAGGATGGTGATGATGATAAGGAGGAAGAATAGAAAAAGAAGGGGAGGAGGAAGAATGGGTAAACTAAGAAGGGGGAGGTGGAGGAGAAGGAGAGAAGGAAGAGGAGAAAGAAGAAGAGGAGGAGGAATAGGAGGGTAGAAGAAGAAGAGGAGTGAGAGGAGGTTGACGAGAAGAAAAAGGGGAGGAGGAAGAGGAGGAAGAGGAGAAAAGAAGAAGAAAATGCAATTATTTAAATACGTGTGTAGTGTTTTAGCAAAGGACGGAAAATGTGACAGCGAAATGTATACACCCTTGCGCAAATTAATAGAAAAATCAAAAACAAAACAAAACAAATAATTCCGTTATTATTTACTTTTTCGCATTTTTCCGATGAAACATAATCCAGTGCACATGTTAGTACTTCGTATGTCGATTCCACGAAGTCTTTCCTTGCAGATTTACCACGGATTCTCGATTGGATTTAAATCAAGACAGTTTCCGGGCCAGTCGACAGTACTTTGATTTGCTCACTGGTGAGGCTTGCCATTGTGTTTGTAAAGCGTTACAATTTTCGTACGCTTCCTTGGAGTAACGTCAATCGCAGACAATAGCCGTGGGACAACTAATTGACAATCGAGACAATACAGTCCAGACGCGATGAAAATCTAATGCAATCACGGATGACTCAATATTTTTCAAGGCCAAACAAATTTCATCATACAGCCGAAAATTGATTCATATTACTGCACATCACTGCAAATGACCTAATCCGAGGAAAAATAGAAATCGATTACGCTCTGTTACTCCAGTGGGTCTAAAACTGACCGTATGGTGAAAGAAAGGAAACTAAAGCAATTGTTTCAATTAATTTGCACAAGGGTGTACATTGGAATAGAGAAAGATGCTTTCCAAAAGGCAAAGTATTAAGAAACAAGAAAGAAGAATATTTCGTTAGAAATGAAGACAGGACTGTGGTACTCTTACGTATTATCTGTCTTCCTATATGACAAGAAATTATGGCGAAGGAATGAAAGAATAAAAGAAAAATATGGCTGGGGAAACAAAGAATGAAGAAATGATGGATAAAAAACAAATGGAAAAAAAAAACCAAAGGGAGGGGTGTAGTAGGAAAATAAAGTAAGTCATTAAAATACGTTTATCAAGAATTTTACTTTACTAATATTTTTTTGGTATAAATTCAAAGCAATGAACTCGTGTTTGGACTTTGGTCAAGTCTTTTATTGTCACTGTCAGCTGTTGTCAATATGTTTGTAGTATAAAACCCATTTGCAAAGACATAAACGAGACTCTAATTGTTATTTTAAGTTTCGAGCACTTTAATGTTTGCACGGATTTTGAAACGTCAAACAACATTTTCATTAGTGCTTGCAATGTTTTTATTTTACATTCATAGTGTGGGCAATGATATTAATGCTAGGGAAAAAGAATAAATATCATTTCGGTTTTTATGGATCCACTGATGGAAGCAAGCTGTGTTGCACATTGGTTTTAGGAAATTGATCATGAAGCATGACACAGTGGACATTTAACGAGGCTTATAGTTTGCATTTTGACTTGAGGAATCTGAAAAAAGTTGATGGTGTCCTCAAAATGGTTAAGGACGTTTTCTCTCGAGGAACCTTGTTTAAGAATTCTGCAAAATATTTTGAAATGTTTTAACGCGTCAATATAGACTCAGTGGAATATCAGTAAAGAACGAGAAAATCACTTGGAAAGAAATAAGGGAAAACATTCTGAAGATTTGTTATATATATATATACACCTTTAATACTTCTAGCTGCCAAATGCTATCGTGTATCAGTCTATATTTCTGAGATAAGTTATTATTTACACTATTTACATTACTTGTACTATTCCCATATTTATCACAACGTTTCGGCCGTTGTACACCCCGGCCTTCTACAGGTGGTTCGAATGAAGAATTGAACTCTTTAGTTCGCTTGCTGGGGTAGACTGTTCTAGTTCCACGTGCCATGTCTAATGGATGTCAGTTATCAGTTATCTCTTGTTGATTCCCCTCTTCAAGTTCTCCACCGCCTGTTATTATCGCTTTTCTCGGGAACTCCTTATTACTGGTTTCCATATTGTATTCCTTTCTATGCTTGGTCTGCTCAGGAGATTTTTGTGACCACCTGAAGAAGGCCGGAGCGTACAACGGCCGAAACGTTGTGATAAATATGGCAACAAAGATGAGGACAATAGTCCGAATAATGTAAATAATGTATCAGTTAGTTATGTGCTATGCGTGATACACGCTTAGGCGATCATG